TCAGGGGTAAGTCATTCAAGTTACTCTAAATATCCTCATTTTCCGTCTCTAAACCAGAAATACACTGGTAAGTTCAGGAGAAACGAATTCGAAGCAGCTCTAATCTCCTGTGACAGGAATTTCGTACCAAACCAGGATGATGCGTTGTCCACAACATTTGTCACTTCTACATACACCTTATATGGAGAAATAGGGTATTCTGAGTGTGAACGTATGAAAAATGTTATGAAGAATACAGTATTCTGGTTTTTGGATGTGGTGGAACTCAGAGGAACTGGGAAAAATGACGGTCAATCCTTCCGTTCCTCGGGGAATTATCATGACTCTATCGATAATTCCTGGACAGGTTAGGAATTCCTATTTCGCAGTTCTTGGATAGCCATCAGAAGCACATCAGTCACGACGTGTATATGCCAACTTGGGATCTAATCAATGCGCTATCGAACGCATTTGAACGGGTTTTTATCCATTAGGAACGCATTCAATGACAACATGTTTGTCTTGAGAAGAAACGTGTTCGTCTTTACTAGGAATGCATTCGAACGCTTTCTGCTTTTTGTCGAATCAACCTGGCGTAAGTCGTAAGTTTCCATCTACCGTGGTTCAGGCGCTGCAGGCCATCTCCGGGACCCTACCTATTGGCTGAATATGGATTTTCTCGCTGTAACCGTACTAAAATAAAAACCTTCTAGTACCTACATTTCTCAACCGAAGTACTTCAGCTTTTCCAAACTCATTCAGTTTCGCCTACTGTACAGTTCAGGAATGTTAAAATTACTTCTCATACTGAGATTTCACCTGAAGACCTTGAAGGGTTTTTAGAAAAACCTGATCCACTATAGTTTTGTGGTTCTGCCCATCAGATCGGATAGAACACCTTCTATTATGCTCACGCTTCAACTTTTATGCAATTTGGTTAATAAACGAAGGTACTAGACGATTTTTATTTTATTACGGTCACAGCAAGAAAATCCAATTTTCTGAAAAATTCATCTTTTGAAGTTTGTTTAATCTGAAATGGTTTGGACATGCCATTGGAATGGTGAATGACAATAACTAATCCACATGGGTTAAAAAGATCATGTTCTCTTCTTTTTGCTGCTGCTAAGAGCCCGCGTAATGCTGATACAAGAAAATCGTGAGAGACTAAAATCATGGAAGATATTGAAAAGCTGCAAATAACGAATTGGAGAAGAGATACTTTTGACCGAGATAAATGGCGTGGGTAACTAATAAATATGTAAGGTGTAGCTAATGCAAACTTACAGTGAAATTTATTTTTGACTGTATTATACATATTCGGATTCAGCTGAACGAGCTGATCATGAAGTCCCGAGCGTCCAAAAGCAATTTGTTCATAGAGAAAAACTCAAATTACGGAGAGAGCCTCAAAAATACAAAAAACCGTCTGTATGAGATCGTCATTTGATTTCGTCAATCAAATTTTTCGACACTTTTTTTCTATTGTTATTTTCGAAATTCGACCAATTTTTACTGTAAAGATTTTTGTCTCTAAAATTACTTCAAAGGCACATGATATGGTGCATTATATGATTATTGATGCTGATTTAAGTTTTCCCAGGCTAGTAATTTACTTCTGGCAAAGTTTATTGGTGCTCAACAATAACTAACCCACATTGGTTAAAAAGATCATATTCTCTTTCTTTTGCTGATGCTAAGAGGCCGCGTAATGCTTCAATACATTCACGAATCGAGATGACGGAAATCTGATTCCAAATATCACCTTATTTTTGTTTTAAAATGAATCTTGATGCCAAGAGTCTCAAAAAACAGTAAAAAGGATGTCGATCGGCCGTCTTGTTTTCAAACTGTTGCAGGGGTTTTGAAACAAAGTGTTTGGGCTCAGTTTGTAGAAAATTAAATTTCCTATCGAATGTCATCTTCATATTTCTACGGAAATTCTGGTTAGATGTCCAAACGTGGGTTTTGGTAGAAAACATTTGTATGTGAAAATCATAATCCTTCACTTGATGAACCTCTTACAAAATCATTAGTGAGTTCAGAAAAAGAGAAGGCTCATGATTTTGTTGAGTTTTTGATAGTCTTTCGAATGAGACATTGCTCAACCAGATCGGACAAAAACAACTGAGTTATACCGAAAATATGAGACAGTGCACATTTTTTGCGATTCTTCGATCCACCTCATTTTGAAACCTCTGTAACTCGATCAAAGTAAAGTCTGGAAGGTTAAATGTTTTTTCGTAACCCAAGTTTTGATTGTAGAATCTGAAAATCAAATATAATTCATATGTCAAATTTTTGCATGTGACGCCTGTTTCGCAAAATACTTGCTTTCCTTGCGAATGGTCTCTTAAGGAGTGAAGCCGCCATTTGCAGTTCAGTAGATTCGCTGAAAGTCCAGCTTTAAAAGTATAACGCACTTTTTTGAAAGATGAAAAAAATCAGAATTCTGCTCGTAATTCTCAATTTTCTCCAACAGAACTCAACTTCTATGGAATAAAACTGTCATATTTGGAATCAGGATCAGCAAACGAATCGACTGATGTGTATCTCTATCCTATCTGAGTACTTTGCACCGTGAGACATCATAGAGATTTACACTAAAAGATGAAAATCAACTAAAATTTCAAAATGCACATCAGTTGATTCGTTTTCTGATCCTGATTCCAAACATGATAGTTTTATTCCATAGAAGTTGAGTTTTGTTGAAGAAAACTGAGAATTACGAGCAGAATTCTGACTTTTCGCCTCTCAAAAAAGCGAGTTATACTTTTACGCAGCATTACGCGGGCACTTAGCATCAGCAAAAGAAGAGTACGTTTTAAATCAACTGTAACTGTCGATGACGGTTGGGATTTCAATTTTCTGGTGAAATGATGCGTGCTACTCGAACCAGATTGAAAGTTCTAGAGGTACCATTCTGATAGTGTACCTTAAAATTTACTTCTGAATGATTAACGTATAGGACACAACCAAATTAACATTCACAATAGTTTTAGTTTATCTTTAATGTCTGCTTCGTGATTCTTACTCTACACCGAAAGCTAAGAGTGTCTAACTAACCAACACGCCGGAAATGGATTTGATCTTTACATTTAGCAACGATAGCTATTTCATATTTGAAAACAGCGTATGCATGACGGATAACTCATGTAACAGTCTACCTTTTTACATGTTAACTTTATCCATGATAAAACTTGCATACAAGAAAGCTGTTTATTAAAGAATGCATCAGTTCTTAAATCTGTTCCATTGCATGATTTAAGCAGACAATGTAGTGCACTAACTTGTGGTAATAATTGAATAAAGTCATGGATGTTCGCTTTCTTGGCTGCTTCAATTATTTCTACCATTGGTATTTTACGACCATGATCACCATAAGCAATATTTTCTTGAACAGTCATATCGAACAAAGTAGGCTCTTGCGATACGAGACCAATTTTTGAAATTGTTTGTTCATGTGAGACATCGGAAAAATTGGCAATCCTAGAAACATAATACTAACATTACGTAATTAACAATGTAATATACGAACGTCATCTCGTAACCATTGAAGATTTAACTTTTTTATATCGTGACCATCAATGTACTACAAGCTCACAAATACCTCTATCACTCTTTCTAAAGGAGAGCATAGTTTTGATCACTTACCAAGCATCCTCCGCTGACATTATAGAAACGCTCAATGAGTTGTACAATCGTCGACTTTCCACTGAGTTATTCACTAATTGTTAAACCAATAGTTACTGATATTCTGTTGTAAATCGATTGGATATTATGTTGTTCTCCTCATTGATGAATAAACATAACACCCACTTGCACCTTTAAGTCATCATCTGAATCAATAGAAAGAAAGTCTATGAATATTAACTCTTACCAACAAGGCCAATACATTGACCAGGATTAATGTTCAATTTAAATTTATTCAACACTACTACTTCTGGTCGAGTCGGATAACGAAACTGGACAAGATCAAATTTAATATTACCATTAAAATTTGACTGAAATATACGTTGAGACAATTCTAATTTATGCATATTCTTATTAGAACATAATCGACAGTTTTTCAAAAAAGGCATACAATTTCTTTTCCTTGTGTTGAACAATTATCAATCGCTGGTTCTCGTTCAAACAAATCAAAAAAACGTCGCGCAGCTGTTATGGATTTACCTAATTCAGTTATCCTGAATATAAGAAAATAAAACAAAATAAAGTTTTTCTTTGATACTGTTCGTTTTACAAGACATCAATTTTAAAACTCACAAGGGGAAGATGAATTGAAATGGTTCTGTGTTAATTAGCATAAATGCCATTGCTCTTAAAAGAATAATCCAAATAAGAAAGAAATATGACTTTTGACGACTAGTTTTAAGGCGGCGCGAATTCAAATATCGAGCACTATTTTATGTTTGCCTTAATTACGCATCATTCGATAGAGAACTTCACGCTGATCACGAACATCTAGGTTCTAGCCTTCCCAGTGCACGTTTTCTATCAAAATCGTTCAAAAAACCTGTCGAACCCGTTTTCCAAAAACCACTAATTTTCGATCTGATGCCTGTAACGAACATAAGTTTCGTTCAATCATGCCGTGATCTCTCTGTCAATGACGTGATCATGAAATATTCTACTTAACGCTGATACTGATTAAATCGCAACCTAAAAGAGTCTTTCAATTTCGTTAAAAACCTCTTGGGGTTTAGCAACCTCGAAACATGATTTTCATATACCATATCGATCTATGAAAATATCCTACGGGTTTAGCAATCAACCCCATGGATTCTGCCCACAGTTTTCAATTTTCTCCGCCGAACTCAACTTTTATGCAATATGAAAATATATTTTTTAAAGTTACAAAAAATTCATTTCATGTCGAGAAACCGATAAAACTCGGAACAGCTCGAAAACTCTCAAAAACGACCGAGCATTAGGAAAATTCACTTCGCCTAGCTTCTTCTTCTAGACTTTATAAACTGTTTGTTTCTGATTCAGCATTGAGGCTGCATAAAATAAAGCCTGCATTCTGTTTGTAATTCTCGATTTTCTTTATCAAAAGTAAACTTTTCTGCAATAAAAATATCATATTTGGAATCAGAATGAAAAACTTCAGTTCAGTTCAGTTTATTCTGGCAAAGCCATGGATACATGAAAAAACATTGCTAGTGCAAAAGTTTGTAACAAAAAAGTCTGCGCCCGACTAAGGACCTAGGCCGATAACTTTGTCGACATGCCCACAGAGGAAGAACAAACAAAGTAGTAAAGAAGAGGACAAAATAACAGGAAAAAAGAAACGAGAACAGTACAAATATTGATAAAAAAAACAACACATCATTAGTCTCACATTTGAAGAAAGAGTTTGAGAGCATCTTTAAAAGCAGAGAGAGATGGTTTTGAGACTATATGCTCCATTGGTAGGGGATTCCTGTCATTAGGGGTTCTCCAGAAAAAAGAGAACTGGACCGTCTCATAGGTGGTAAAAGGCACTTCTACCGCTTGAGAATTCGTTCTATAGCGAAGTGACCTCGTATTCCTAACTGTAGTTATATACTCTTGACGATTGAGGAGAGAAAGGTTGTTATATAGTTTGTAAAAAGAGACAAGACGAAAATAGCGCCTACGCGCTGTAAGATCAGGCAGTCGTAGCTGGGTAGCCAGAGTACTACTGTCTGTTTCACGAGCTAAGTTTCTGGTAACAATGCGCGCCGCAAGCTTCTGAAGAGAATCTAGTGGAGCAAGATGTGTGAAAAAGTTCGAGTCGTAAACTGCCGAGCAATAGTCAATTTTGGGTAGAACACAAGTCTTGTAAAGAGTCAAACGAATGGCTTGTGGTGCGTCTCGGAATACTCGATTTAAAGCTCCTAGCATGCGCCTGCAAAGCAAAGCAAGTTCACTGATGTGGGTAGACCACTTAAGATCGTGCGAAAGACGTAAACCTAATAGTTTAGGATCATTATCAAGAGAAAGAGGGCAGTTGCCAAGAGAAAGATGGGGATCCATTTTTGGATCTAGAGTAAAATAAGTGTATGAACATTTATCGGCGTTTAAAGTCATTTGATTTTTTTCGCACCAAACAGACACACGATCAATTTCAGTCTGAACTAGAGTTTCAATGACTGTCTTATCATCTGTTTTTTTGAATGGTACCAAAACAAAAAGATCATCAGCAAATTTACTGTCTGAGGCGGATGTTGAAGCACTTAGATCATTTATAAATATCAAGAAGAGTAAGGGGCTTAGTATGGAGCCCTGGAGGACTCCAGGTGGTACTGATGATAAAAAAGACCGTCCTTGCCCTATTTTAACGAACTGTGTACGGTTTGACAGATATGATTCAAGCCATTCTAAAAGCTTTCCGCCAATGCCAATAGGTTTAAGTTTGTTTAGAAGGATGGAAGCTGGCACGCGGTCAAATGCTTTCGATAGATCAAAACTCAAATCAACACAGTGTTCTTTGTCATCATTTCTTTTGTTCATACTAGTGTACAGAGCATGAGTTACTCTTAGCAATGTGTCTTGGGTCGAACTAAGGGTACTACATTAGTATTACTCGGTAATTGGTAATAATTTATATTACTTTTATTACTTATTACTTTGTATAGTAATTTGCTTTGTTTTCATCATGTTAATGTTACTAGGGCTTTCCTTCTTTCTTATTAACGAATACTGAATCAATTTCTTGCTACATTATTACTAATTATTTCATTACTTTCCAGTTTTTATTACTTTATTACCAGTAATAAGTAATAAAATTTTTCATTACTTATTACTGGTAATAAAGTAATAAAAGTAATCGGATAGTTAGAAATGTATTTGGATAGTTTCATGTTTAGTCAAATTTCAATAATTATTAGTGAAATTGAAAAAGAAACAACATGGACTGAACGCATCTTAATAAATTGCATACGTTACGAAATTTGAGAAATTCGCCTCCTATTACAAAACGCTCAACAATCTTAATTTCACCTATTAAGAATTATTCAAAGAGAGTCCTGACTAATGAAGAGATTTTTGCACTTGAAAATGGTCTTGACTTTACTCTTCCATCAGTAACATATCATGAAGAAACTTTTATAGTTAACATCGAGACTTTATTCATGAATCTACTTGGACATTGTTCTGACATTGTTTGTAGTTATTACCTTATTACTTATTACTTTTATTACTTTTGAAATTTATTACTTATTACCAAGTAATAAGTAATAACATCTTTGTTATTACTTATTACTAGTAATAGTAATGTAGCAGTCCTAGGTCGAACACGAAGGTCTAAAACCAAACTGAGTGCTACTGAGCAGATTATTGTCAAGTAAAAAACTCAGCATTTGCTGATGGACGATTTTCTCCAAAATTTTGCTAACAACACACAAAAGCGATATTGGCCGATAATTCACAATGAGAGAGGTATTGCTTTTTTTATGAACAGGTGTGATGGTAGCTACTTTCCACTGACAGGGAAAGGTACCTGTTTTAATCGATGACTGAAATATATGCAATAACTGTCTTCCTAAAACGGGAAGGTACAATTGAATAAATTCCAGTGACAAGCCGCCAACTCCAACACTAGCCGTATTATTCATCGAGCCAACAGCTTTCACAACCTCAGTGAGAGAAATGTGGACGTCCGTAAATTTTGTCCGTTTGAATTTGAAAAAGCGTTATTGATTACTGGAGTGGAACTTGGTATAGGAGTAGAATAACAAGAATTGAAATACGTATTGAACATGTCACAAGATTCTTTTACAGATGACGAGATGTGCTTTGACATATCAGACACAAACTGAGGTATGCTCAGCTTTCCATTCTTGAATTTATTTATAGACGTCCAAAAACGTGTAGGGTCAGAAAGGAGAGAGAGACTTTTTTCAAAATGTTTTTTCTTATCAGTTCTGACGAGTTTACTGACATTGTTCCACAGAGCTTTGTAGAGAGAATAGTTTGCAGCTATTTTTTGTATCTTCCAACGATTAAAAGCTCGATTTCTTTTCAACATTTGTTTACGAGTCATCTTAGAATTCTCCAATCGGCTTTTTAGTTAAACAAACTCGCTTCAATGGAACATGTTCGCCTACGCATCTGTCAACATGAGATTGACTGATGTGTATTTCGAAATGTTGGCCGAGTAGTTGAATTTCATTTCTGGTGGAAATCTCGATAATTTTTCGACATGAAAATTCCACAAAAAGTAACGTAGTCGGATAGAATAGAGATACATATCAGTTGACTCAGTTTTTCATTCTGATTCCGAATGTGATATTTTTATTGCATAAAAGTTTAGTCCTGTTGCAGAAAATTCAGAATTGCTAGCATAATTCAGGCTTTTTCGGTTCAGATTTGGAAAAAATGAATTTTCTCAGCAATGAAAAGGAATTTAAAACCCACAATTTGTACTTTTGTAAGGTGCAATTAATGCAAAAAGGAAGCAGAATTTGTTTTTCGTTCACTCTGCTATGGTTGGATAGAGCTCATCAAACTGGATACAAAAAAGTCCACTTGAGACTTTCTGAAGGCATTTTTGGGTGAAAAATTATCAAAATATCGATTTTTGAAAAAAGGCAAAAATACATCAGATTCTGAGAAATAGCCAACATTTTCATATTTATTCCTGATCTATCATTTGAAGCTAATTTTTTCTGATTTGGCATGCAAAACTGACTATAGAAAAGCGAATTTGACAGTTTCTGTAGTTAAAATAGACTCAGCTTTCGAGAAACCCGAGTAGAACCAGAAAAGAGCCCCTGGTCATCTTTCAAACCTATCTAGTTTTCCTGGTTGAGAGTTATCGTCATTCGAATCATCATGTCAGTGGCAAAAAAAGGCACAAATCGCTTTTTTGAAAATTTTGTTTCATTGATGAGGAAATTCATTTTTTCTAAACCAGAGGCAAAAAAGTCGGAATTCTGCCCGTAGTTCTCAATTTTCTTCATCAGAACTCTACTTTATGCAATACAAATACCATATTCGGAATCAGCATCAAATAGTCAGTGGACTAATGTGTATTTCTATCCAATCTGACTTTTTTAATGTTTTTCGAATTTTCATTATTAAGATTTTAACGAAAAAATGAAAATCAACTAAATGTTTCGAAATATTGTAGAATTTCGCCACCTGGAATTTCGCCAGCCGAAATTCCGAAGGATTTTTTGCAGTATTGTCGAATATAGAGAGTAAAGTCTCCAAGAATTTCGACAAAATCTTATCGACTTTCGACAATTTGTCGTATTTACAATGAACTTCGATAATTGCCGAAAATCCAACGGAATTTTGACAGTAATTTTCAGTTGTACTTGAAGTGGAATTTTTAAGAGCATACTCCGTGCATAATAATAAAATAATACACTGTGTTTTTATAATCTATAATCTGTGTATTCTACATAATACCAGGAATCATTCCAGTATTATGCGATCAGACTACTATCTGTTTGAATGAATAACGAACTCCGATGTTTTACTTATATCTTTTGAAGGAAAAGAGCTATCGACCTGCGGCTTTTGCCATTCAAAGGAGAAGACTTGGAGGCATGTTTCCAGAAGAGTTTATTGAAACACGCTTTCCAGAAGATCTTTGGAAAACTAGGTCGTCCGTAAAAATTTCCCAATAGGATTGTATTGCTTGTTTTTCTTGAGCTAATAGCCCGAGGTGTTCTCTCCAAAATGGGACTAAAGTGATACCTTGATTTTCCTCGGTTCTGGCGTTGTATCGGATTTCCTATGAGTCCCAGGACTGGCACCCCCTACTAAGCCTCTTGGTAATATTTGTTTTTAGAAAAAGTTTTAAAAATCTAGCGAAAAGCTAGTTTTGCGAAAATTAGGGTTTTCAGGCTGTTCTCACCTAATATTAAAAAAGATTTCCAGTAGTACTAGAGAAAAGTTGTTGTTTCATCCTAATATGGTATTACTGGTTGTACTACCAATTTTCCATAAAAAATCCTAACTTTTCGTTTTAGATGTAAACAAATAGTGTTGGAATTTTCATCCGACATCTTATTCCATCGCCGCCATTAGCTGCACAGTCTCTGGTAATGGCCTGAACGAGAAGTCAAGGCATTCCTCATAAATGAAAATAAACATAATGATGGAGTACTACTAGTAGTATATAGAAATGCGAGCGGTAGTACTAAGAATAGTACTATAAACGTAAAACCACTTAAGAGAGGATTTGTCAGACAAGTGAGAGAACGGAAAAAAATTCTGTTTCCTTTTTGCATTAATTGCACGTTACTGCGTTTCAAGACGAATCGAATGGCGTAACTTGGCTTCGTCTCTTAAGGAAAAAATGTAGATAGGTTTGCAAAATGAGTATGGTGAAATTGAAGATCTCTCGGCTTTGTTTGGCCCTCGAACACTTCTTTTCGTTCCGGAACGTTGGAATGTAGTTTCCTGTATGCAGGTTTCACCGCTGAACAAGAAAAACGCTTTTTCAACGTTCCAGAACCATGTGGAAGCGAGTTATTACGTATTTTTTCGAAAGTTAGTGGTTTTTGGAAAACAGGTTTTTTCAACGTTTTTCATGGAAAATGTGCACTGGGAAGGCTAGAACCTAGACATTCGTAATCAGCGTGAAGTTCTCTATCGAATGATGTATAATTAAGCCAGACATGAAATACTGCTCAATGTTTGATTTCGAAGTGCCTCACATCATTATATTTTCAGCTTTAAGTTGTTCATGTTCAACTAATACAAAGACGGCTGCATATATTGCTGCTAAAGTAAAATAAAAACTCGATGTTGCCACACCGTATGCAATTGCTTCAATATAGGAATAGTTTTTTGACCATCTATCAAATAAAAGAAGTTATTATAATTGTCATTCACTCTTACTTGTGTTGCACTTACGTGTATGTTTGGTTAATATAGTTGGAATACTTTTGTATAAAAATATCTTTTTTAGTCAATTGTACAACTGTACGAATATTTTGAAGTGATTCTGTAGCGAGCTAAAAGAAAATAATGGAATGTTATAAGATATTTTGTTATAATTAAAATGACTTCACTTACTACTGAAGCATGGTCTAATACTTTTCTTGTTTTCTTTGACAATCCTGTTTTCAAATATACCTGTAGACAGATCATTGTAAAGAGTAATAAAGTACGTCCCATAGTAATTAATGTTAATTGCCAGCAAACTATGAAACATAGTATAAAACCAATAAGAAGCGTCGCAAAACATTCTGTTATCAAACCGATACGAAGTCCTGTTATCTAAAGACACGCAGTACTTTTACGTATTTGTTGTTGGATAATTGTTTATAGACGCTTACATTTTGAATAGCTAATGCATCTGATGATAAGCGTTCACAGAGTACTCCACTATGGTTTTCTTGTCTATCAAACCAACCGATTTCTTGTTTCAACATACACTGAATCGCTTTTGTACGTACGCGTTTAGTTAATTCAGCGCCCGATATCGAAAAAATAAGTTCTACGAAAAAGAGACAAGAAATCCGAATATCTATGCTACAAAAAGTGTAAATAATTCTTTTACTTGTAGCAGTTTTGCTAATAAGACAATTAAACCCAGTCCAATCAGTAACGTACAATATATTCTAATTTCGTGTTGTTGTTTGACTTTGTCTGGCTCCATATACACCTGTAAAAAAGTGATATACTTAAAGAACTTTACACAGTTTTAAAGAGAGAAAGATTTGATATTACAGTGACTGTTTGTGCAAACATGAAACTGAATAATGGAATCACAGCACCGTTGACAATACATGCTAGACAACCAAGTAGAATATAAAACCATTCTGGTCTGCTTAATTGCAACACTTTCATAACTATTAAATTTTGATTGTCATTCTCTAATTTCTATTAATCGAAAATATAAACGGTAAGTGCAAGGACTAAACATATAGCACTACAGAATAGTAGCAGCACGTATCATCTATCAGAGCTCGAACTGTGAACGTCGAAAGACGACTAGCGCTTTCTTCTTGACGATCGTGTACAAAAATATATAGTTTTTCTAATCTTTGATTTGTAATGATACTATTGTTAGAATGACGATGTCTGTTGACTGTGAGGTGAGATAAACTTCTAAACGAACATAACCGACAAGAAAGATTATAGATTTTGGACGATTTTTGGAAATTATCTTTCTTGATTCTACTCTCTATTTTTAATAAACTGTTTTTAAGTAAGAGGAACCACTATTAGAACTTGGTAGTAGCAAGTAGTTAGAAGTTTATAATAATGTCTACGGCATCCGGCGGTCTAAAAGCGCACTATACCTCGGTTGAATGAAATATGACAATGTACACATAAATGCTCGATTAAGTGAGATGAATTAACAACGAAGCCAGATGAATCAATATCAACCTGAACCTTTGTCGAAATTGTCAAGCAATATGTCCTGTTGAAATAAAACATCCGAACCAACTCATTTATAGATAGAGAGTGAAAAGTACAAAAGTTCAAATCGTTTTTTTTTGAAATTCCTTTTCATTGCTGAAAAAATTCATTTTTTCCAAATCTGAAGCGAAAAAGCCTGAATTATGCTTGCAATTCTAAATTTTCTGCATCAGAACTAAACTTTTATGCAATAAAAATATCACATTCGGAATCCGAAGGACGGTGAACGAATGCAAGGTGCGCGTAATGCAAAAGTTGAGCAACATTTTGTTTGAACTTATTATACATCGTTCGATAGAGCTCATTGAGCTGATTAAGAAAATATATTTTTTAAAGTTTCAACAAATTCTTTTGATGTCGAGAAATTAGGTGTAGCGTCAAGAACTTTCTGCCTGATCAGCCAAGGCATATTGCACGTGCCGGTTATAAACCGCGGGAAGATGCTTCTTTC